TACAAAGGGAGCTTCGTGATCTCCTAGATTTTTAAACGTTCGTTCTCATAAGGTTTAATCGGAGATCTTGTGCCGAGGCCTGGGTTTGCATCTTGATGTGCTCTTGTATAGTCAACTTTACATAGTCCTTCTCTCTTTTCAGACAGTTATGTTGGGGTACACTTGGAGTTTGGTTCTCCATTTGTAGATGGAATAGGCTGTTGATCATGTCAATTGTTGGTCTTTTCAAGGTGCAATGCGATTTTTGGGTTACTCAGGACCCAATTTCCAGCTATCTCAATTCTAGAAATTGTATAGTGTTTTAGATTTTTATTGTAGCTTTGTATATACATGAAGAGAAAACTATCAACGACGTCCAAAAGGTCCCTTTCCAAATGGTCCTTTTGGTCCTCCTTTGCCTCCTGGACCTCCGGAACCTCCGCGAAGATCGGTACAGGTGACCTAGAGAGTCAAATTTACATATTGAATAACCTTTGGAGAAAAGCCTCTGTATAGCTCAGAAATCAGTAACTCCATGCTTACCTCGTATTGTCCTCGTTTCGTCACCTTCTCACAACGCTCCCATCCGTCACGCTTGTTGCAAACTTTGTCGCAGACATCTCCTCGGAAGGAAAGTGGTACTGTAAAAAGCTTCATCGATTACTGAATCTTTTTACTTTATTTACTATATCTCTATTTTTTACATATAATTGCTTATTTAATTGATCTAAGCTCCACTATCTCATCATATGTAATTCGCCCGGAAGTATTGAGATCAGCCCATTTTTAGGCTCAACCCACTTCAAGCAACAAAAATTCAGCGCTGGTCTTTTATTGCCTATAATCTAAGTGTAGTAAAGGCTTTATCTGAGCCGCTTCGAAAAAGTGTGCACTTTACTCTGAATTTGAAGAGAACTCAATCTTAAGCAGTAACTTTATCTTAAATTTCATTAATCTATAAGAAATATAGAAGTATCTTTTCAAAATCTCCATACTCACCTAGTTCGACCTTCTCTCTTTTTTGAGCTTGTACGGAAAGCACTGCCAAGCAGAGAACCTGAAAATATAATACCAATAACCTGAATTTTTCAATATTAATTGCGCAATCATATCTTAAGTAAATCGTGCTTGTTAGAGAACAAATCACCTCAA